CGGCAGCAGTGGCGTTCTTGTTGTCGTTTCTTATCAGGTCAGAATGCTTGAAACGGTTTTAATGCAGAGTTCGATTGTGTACTGTGTTTTGACCACAGTGGCTCATGTTCTCCCTTCCTCAAAATAGATCCAACCCCTGTCGCCCTTAATTTTTACTACTAACCTTGTATGTATTGTGAGTTTGGCAGCGGTCAGTGAAGTTCGCTTCACGGTATTTTGCTGTACGGTGATGATGATGATGATGATGATTGTTTGCATATCATCACCGGGGATACTTCTGAAACCAGTCAGCCCGATTCGCGTCATTATTCGACTCGAGTCTACATTCCACTGGAATCGTTACACTTATTCCACTGTGCATTTATAACTTCGTAATAGTGATAAAAGTTTTTTTCGAACTGGCGTATCTGATTTTGAGATAAAACGCGACATATGTAAATGCGAAGCATCTGTTTCCATGTTTGGGATATTATAAATCGTATGCTGGTGATCATTTCGTCCTTATATTTCACCCACGTCTAAGTTCAAACTGCCAAGCGAATCATGGTACAATAATCTTGAGACAAAGAACGTTTTCTACGATTTACTTGTGGATGGAGTACTTCAAGGTTGACCAGGCCGCCGTGTTTGGATTTTCTCGGGGGTTCACAACCTTCGGCAGAAGAGCGGTGTTCAAAGCCTCAATCCATTTGGATCATACGCTCTTTGGACAGGGTCAAACGTCCAACTTACTCAATGCACCTCAATGCCCAATTGAAACAATAACCACTGCCACGACCAAGGAGGTGTGTGTGTGTGGTTCGTTCGCCTATTGGTTGGTTTGGAATCAGAGATTTTTAGCGAACTCCTCTGTGTGAACTGCCAGTGGTCCACCAAACCAGTTATAGCCACAGATTTTGGCTTTTTGTCCCTTCGCTTTGGCGGGAAACACTGCCACATGATGTTAGTGAATGGATGTTCATCAGTAGAGGCTACTTGGGACATTTGGTTGTGCAGGGACATTTTCCAAGGTGCAAATGAACTGACTAATCGCAACGCATAATACTCATGTCTGACCATATTAAGGCTTTCGCAGGTGGATTCCATGGACTCAGCACCGTGTAAGTTCGACTTCGTCTAACATTACCTTCACACCAAATGGAAATGGTAAACTGGCAGGGGGAAAACACAAAAATGACTATATGCTACCGGATTAGTGACAGTGATTGAACTGCATGCCCCACGAGTTAATGTTAGTTTGTCCTTGGTCTGAACTCCATCGTTATAACTATTCCGTTTCCGTGTTGTTTCGTTTAGCTTTTATCCCCAATTATTTTACTCTTTCCATTAAGCTCGGGTTCAGTCAACCTAAAAGCCTTGCAGACCTCTCGATTTCCGTCCACTTTGTGCCTGAGTTTGTTTGACCCATCCAGATCATCTATGGTGTCATACTTCTTGTCGTTTCCCATCAGTCATTCTTATTTTCTCTCCAAAACTTTGTTGAACATTGCGGATTTTTGTCCATCTACTCGTCTGATGATCAAAGTTCTCCAAATTGGTCTAGCACAACTACAGTGCATCAGTTTTTTCCTCTCATTTTTAGCCTATTTATGGAAGAGTCCATGTGCAGTACGGTGGACTATATGCAACTGATATTTGCACTGCTGGGCTATCTTCGTCCGAAGCTAATTGAGAAATTAGAATTGGTCGGTTTAGGGCCAGATTTTGCTCTGGCTTGGATCGTCACTTGGTTCGCTCATGTCCTACCGGAAATGGCGGATGTGCGTCGGCTGTTTGATCTATTTCTTGCTACCGACCCTCTGATGTTGATCTACGTTTCTGTCGCGGTGAGTGATTTAAATCGCTTGTCTTTCCTTTGTCCAGCCATCTTTTTTTCGCTCCATTCACGTGATATTCCCAATTGACGCGCACACACACTTGATATTCATGTGATTTCTTCGACACTTACTTCGACCCGATATGCATTTTGATTCAAACACACACACGCATCATCATCATCGTACAGCAATATACTGTGGAGCGAGCTTCACTGATTACTGCCAAGCTCACAATGTACACAAATCAAGTGATAAAGCACAAGATGGAGAGGGATTGGGTCTACTTGGAGGGAGGCAAAGAAAAAGAACCTCTATGTTCAATACATTGAGTACACAACCTAAGTGTTCATGCATACCTTTTCAAGCATTCTGACTCGTTAAGAAATGACAACAAGAACGGCACTGCTGTCGGTTAGTCGCCATCACGACGAGACTGCATCTTGACGTGGTGTGATGGCTTGCGTGCCTCAGTAACC